TCCACCCCCCCCTCCACCTGTCCTTCTACCGCTGCCAACCCCTCTTCTCTCGTCGTGCCTTTCTTACCCCCCAACTTACTTACCTACTACTCCGTAACTACACCACACCACACAACTCTACCCTAATCTACATCTAAACTTCTCAACCGTACCGAGTACACTGACTGCTTGTCACACTCCCTTCTCCCTGGCCTCACCCTAACCCTGCCCTACCCTGTCTTGCCCTGCAATTATACCCTACACCCTACCCGATCGGCAGCGGGGATCTCACTCTGAACCAAACCATTCCACTTCTATATCTCCTCGAGCGCGCACGCCATTGCTCTTGCCACGTCCCTCTTCTAAATAGGGAAGATTGGTCTACTCCGTCCTTCCTGCTCCGAATACTCGTACACCTAGCTCGAGAGGACGCTCGTTTCGTGCGACCTTTGCTCGACCCACGTCTAGAGAGACCCAAGACCCGGCTCTCACTTCCCGCTTCTTAAATCTTGGGTTCCAGATTTTCCTAACCTAGCGGTCCTGTCGTCTCGCTGCTATCTTCGCATCGTCCAGCCCCAATATCAAACACCACCCACTACGCTTGAATAGTTCACGAGGCGTCAGTGAGACTTTGTGGAGCAGCCCCCTCGACTGCTGCCCGTTTCCGCTCGAAGATAGTCTTAGAGCGGCGTATGTCTCATACCCGTCCTGGTCTATGATTTCTGGGGGTAAAAGGCAATCAAACACAGAAGTGTACAGGTCAAAGCATCCGGGGATCGTTGCCAAACGCCAAACCGGGTTCGAGGAGAAGCACAAGGTATAGCAGAGATCAATTATCATCACGGATTCAAAGCCTGACCCTCGTTCGTTTTCATCATCTCTTTTCTTAACAGCATTCTGCGTCTACCAAGCGCTCTCCACGGGCATCGTTTCGGCAGGAAAGACCATTGGGATTTCTGACAAACCATCCATCACGGACGCTCCCCTAACCACAATAATACAACTATAACCTTCCGGCTTCTCCATAAAGCCACTTAGGTGCGCCGCCTCATCCACCTGCCTCTTACTTGTACGACCGTCACTGTCTCCCAACGCCCACCCCCTGGGCAGTCTCCAACTCAGCGCCACCGTACTTCCACAAATCTCACACCCATCACAGAAAGGGCAGCAGATCACTTTAGCGGCAAGTCAACGCATGATCCAGCCGCTCTAAAAGCAAGTCACCCACAACACAGGCCATCAGTTCCTGCTCCGGGATTTCCATTTACTTTTCTCATCTGGAACCTGTTCAGTCTTATTATTTCACCCCAGATAATATCATCCATCCCTTGGAGTATGTGCATCGTTAGGAGGGCGAGCATCAAATCCACTTAGACTGCGTCCCGCTATTTTGACGCCCAGACCTCTTCGAGAAGGACCGTATCTTCATCTGGTCGTTTTCTGATACAACTATCCTTGAGATCCCAATCAATTCTGATAAACATCTTTCAGACTTTGGAACTTACTTCTCAAAACGACAGCTCGACTTGTACCTTCCACCCCAACCCCACATTGAAGATACTTCTATCAACCTTTCCTTCTCACTCGCCACGATGGTCGCCAACAGAGGTGGTCCTCCATTGTCGCAAGGAGGCTTTTATCCCTCTAGGGATACTCTGACTCGGAGTGAGGATGTTCAAGATAGGACACCAGCATTTATGCATCCTCCCATGCCGGCTTATGGGAATACGGTATGGTCTTCAGTTCAGTCTTGTGTATCAATACTAAATCAATAATCACAGTCCATCGGAGATGCATTAAGGGATTACGCCGGGATTCCAGTGAGAGACTTTGTTCTTGCCTGCCGGCTTGATAATGGAGAAGAGAAGACCTATCACTCGAAGTCTTTCAGGCCGTATATCTCGAAAGTGTTCACTGAACGCTTCAGACGGGATTTCACTCATTACAGTCACAGAGCGAGTGCAGAGAGGGGTTACACGGGTGCCGGTAAGCTTGATATCTACTCACATCTGTTTCTTATCTAACAACCTGTAGGTTATGGACAGGATGGCACATACAATGAGCTGGAAGTTGACAGCACGGAGGATTACAGGAAGATGGGTAGTGGTGGTGAACTGGCTCGCTCACAATATCGGCCGCGATATTCACGGTCAGAGGATTCAAGTGAAGAGATTCCAGGATGCAAAAGAAAGCGAGGTCATTATTCTGGAAATGATGTTCCAATATCCATCCCGACCCAGAAGACCGAACCGCTGGTTATCGGACAATCCGACAAAGTCGAGCAGTATTACGTGGTTCGATTCAAGGACATGCAGCAATCGTCTTGTAAAGTCATGGGTAAAGCTTTTGTCAAATTGGTTGAGCCCAAGAAGCAAACGCATCACCCCTATACAGGAGGCAACGCCGGGGCTCCTCCGTGGTGGCCGCCAACTATTGGGGAGAATCATGTTAGGCACAAAGAGCCAGATCATCTTCTCAAACCCGGTACGTCTTCGTCCTCGAGATCCTTCCGACTCACTTTTCTAACTGTCATCAGAACGCATTCGGCTCCTCGTTCATATTCTCCGAATGATCATCCAGCCCCAATCACAGCAAGTCTCTGCAGTAGCAAAGCAAGGGTTGAATGTTAAAAAACTCGAAGAGGTAACTATGGAGGCCATGTCGAACTGGTTCTCAGACAAGGACCATCCAGAAAACGCGGAGAAGAAACCATTTTTGAAAGAAATCTTCAAGGTCGCAAGAGAGGAGGAACGCTACAAGAATGGAGAGATAGGTATGATTGTAGTCTACAAAGGCATTGATGTCTACTGACTTTTGTAGATGGCGACACCGCAATCCCCGTAATGTTTGGAGACCAGACTGGAGGCGAGGAATCCGATGTTGATAACGACGCAGTGAACGAGGAAGAGGAGGCAGGTCAAGAAAATGTAATTGGCACCAATAACTCCGCTACGCCCGAACTCGTCTCACCCCCAATGATGATGCCACACCGTCAATTCGAACCCGAACAACAAACACATGGCATAATCCAGCATCGCCCTCATCCAACTTTGATTCGCCCATCTGCGCCGCATTTGGAGGATTCGTCGCCTTACGCTGAAACATATGGTCGCCAGATGTCTAGCTTTCCACAGAGCCCGAGTTTGCAAGACCCATACCGACCTCGATATGCACCTAATGTCTCGCCTGGATACCAGAGTCCTCAGCAAAACTTATATCCTACATCATGGCAGAATCACGGAATGATGACTAGTGGGCCACTCACCACAAGCTACTGCGCAACGAGTTCACCTCAATCGATCACACCTCCATCGACCCTTCAGTTACCAGCACTCTCCCAACAAGTTGCGTCCCACACCCAACAACTTACTTCATACACGCAAGGCATGCTACCACCGAGGATGTCCAGCCAACCTTTCGAAATGCCACACACGAGACAATATGACCCAGGGCCAGGATTGGGAAACCAGATGAGGATGGGGGGTTTGAGCAATCCTCACGCACAACATACACAAAATGGATACAGCGAATTTCTTCATGATGCAAATTCATACTCGCAGAACGAGTCTGAAATGAAAGAGGGACAACAACATCTTCGACCATAAACCGTCGTGTTTCCAGGGCCAATTATTGTTAACTAATTCGAATATATTATCGAGCATCGGTGGTCAAATTATTTTCTATAGCGTATACCCTCCTTTGTCTCATCTCCTATTTCAACATCCCAAAGAAAACAAAAAAGCGAACCGCGCAAATGTTCCATTCCTGGTTCTTCTAATAGCCAAAAACAAGTACATTACTTTATCCCACGAGGACCAACAGCATCATGGGCAAATGATATTCATCCCGGGTTTTATCTGCTACCTGTATTTGGAAATCCAACAACAGACTTTTGTTCAACTTTTATTCGATTTCAGCAATATCGATACTCTCTCGTCATCTTATTACAGCGTTATTCGAAAGTATGCAATCTACGTTTATGTTTGTACGATTCAACCCGTTATTAAATTCCGGAAAGGAGGCTATTTCCAACATTTTTATTTTTAAAACCCCCCACCCGGTATTTGCTAGTGCCTGCCTGCTTCCTTTGTTTTGTAGACATCATCACTCTTAGCGAGCAAATGGGAATGGGGAAAACGGGTGGCCACAGTCGATTCAGTTCAATTCTTATGCGGTTTTCTTTTGTTGCTATTCTTCTAATATTTTCTCTCTATGGGCGCCAATTTCTTTTGTATGTATCATTTGTTTTTTGATTTTTTTCGTTTGTTTTGTGTCTGTGGTGAATAAGGGCAGTATGATGTTATGGGGTGGCTTTCAAGTGTTGGGTATTTTATCCTGTGTGAAAATGTTTTCCTCCCTCTCTCTTTTGTTTTGTATGGATGGATATGAATTTATCTGTGAGATGGATGGGATGTGTGGGTTTAAATACATGATACAAATCTAATGATTGAGAATATAAAATCCTTTGATTTATGATTATCACAACATATTCTATGGTCACTTTAGGGGGTTTTCGTCTTTTTCGTTGGGTTGACCGTTGGAGCCTGCTTAGATTAAATAAAGCCCCAATATGTTTCTACTTTTTCTCCATATGTTAACTCTACCTAGGTATTGTTCATTGGTTTGATAGGTAGGTAGCTTCAATTCCCTTCTGAGCTGAAGCAACTCCCATCGAAACCCATACTAGCTCTGGTTACCTACTAGGTACCTAGTATTAGATTAGCTCAACACTGGAGATTTTCTAAGTCTAAATGCTAGCGACCTCAGCTACTGTAGGTACCTACCTCCCTCCCTCTCCAACAAGTCAAAATAGAAGCAGTGGAGCCGCTTACAACACCAGGATCAGGAATAACACAATGGAAGAATGTGCAAGAAGTGTCCTGTAACAAACCTGAAGGTACAATATAGACGAAGGAACTGCAGGTGGGTAACAAATTCAAGTTGTTAGATGAGCCTCGCTTCTCAGGACACTGGAAGTGGTGGCACGCACACCTGACACTGCAGATGGGAAACAATATCAACCTAGATGGAAGCGACGAGACCCGAGGGCTGCAGGTGATTCTCTTCATCATTAACGTACACCACCTTATAGAAGAGAATTTGGGATTGGAAGGGGAGGAGCAATCCATCTGTTCCAATAGAAGTTGAGCTTGCTCGCGTTCGGACGAAGTACCCGAGCTGCCCAGGTAGAGCGAAGGGTCGGGTCGAGTTGAGGCCAGACGCACCTCAAGGAAGGAGCGCCCACCTCAGTTGACTGTGCCGGTGGGCATGGCGCACTTGAAGTCGACCTCGACCTCAGGACGTCGAGTCGATGTCAGATGAACTTGAAAGGATGGAAGGAACGTTGAGGAAGGAGCGACTTTTCCCTTGGAGGCGTAATCGGGGTTAGCCTCGACTATAAACCCCCCCCCTCCTCCCTCGTTTGCCCTTGACCCAGATCTTTTAGACGGGAAACATCGATGGATGTTGTGGAATACACCTGTATGATGAATCGCTCCTTAACCTCGACTCGAGCAGCGGATGTAAGTGCCCTGCGCATCTCGAATGCAACCTTGAAGATGCTACGATCCTAAAACCAAATACCATCGCGAGAACAATCGACCCTTCTCCTTCGTGATCCAAATAGAATACCTCCCACAATATAAAGACGGGACGGGACCCAAAATGTCCTCTCCCCGGTATGGCCTCCTCGCAGATGAATCCGTTGACTCACCAGACCATCCCAACAAGAAACTCATCTTCTTAGTACCTAGGTAGGTAGCCGCATTACAACTTCGCCCTCGCGCCGATTCGCAACAACATTCCATCCGACACTCCTATGCTGTAGTTTGTTGCTCTTTTCCCTGATACCTCTATTTATAATCCTTATATCCTTCATTAGCTTCTAGTAAGTAAGTACCTTAGAGGAAAACCCCCCTTTTATAATCTATAGTACCCAGTGGGAGCAAAAAAGTCGATACCTTATCTACACCCGGTCGATACCGTATTAACAACTAAAAAAATTTATAGATCAACAAATTAAAAAAATCGATAATCTTTAAACTCGCTTTAATTAAGTAGAATACCTAAATAGATACCCTTATAAGCTTATAAATCTAAAAAAACCCTTATTTTGTTAAGAATCTATAATTTTCCTACGCTACCTTACCCCTATAAAATCGCTTCGCTTAGATACCCGGCCTCCTAGTAGGAGTACTAGGGAGCGGGTGTAGATAAAGTATTAATAATTATCGATAGGGTATCGACAACTAATTATATAGGGGAAGTTTTTTTTTAAAAAATAATTTTCTTATAAAAGGGTCTATTAGTCTCTAATAGTCGTCTATTTATCCCTATAGCGTTCTCTATAAGACCTTTTTTTATTAAGTATAGGATAAGTTTTCTCGATTTCGCTAAGTACTTTTATTAATCCCTTAATTTCGCTAAGTACTTTTACCGGTCCGGTAGCTAGGAATAGACTTTTATTATAGTTTTAGGTACGTAGATCCTACTACGCACGTACTTCCGAGTACTACCGAGTACTGCCTACATATTACTACCCTTCCCCCGCCCTCTCTTTGCCTACCTGTCGTTCCTACTATCCCTACCTACAAGTGTACTTAGTCGTTTTGTTTTTTACTCCCTCCCATCCCTACTTATACGTGTACTTAGTTTTTTTTTATCCTTACCTATAACCTCTATATATACTTAATTTAAGTAAGTGATTCGAGCCGTAAAAGTATAGAAATAAGTATAAAACTATATAGAAAAAAGTTGTAATTTATTAATAACTTTAGACATTTTAGTAACTATTTATTAATAACCGTTTATAGATAAGGTATCGACAATTATTGATAGGGTATCTATAACCGAGCGTATATAAAAATGTATATAAGGTATCGATAACCGGTTATCGATGCCTTATCTACGCCCGCTCCTACTAGGGTAGTACCGTTACAAAATTTATAATTATAGTAATACTATCGCTATAATATCCGAGTGAATATACTCGGTAGTACGGACTACCTAACTAGGCTAGTCCTACCTATATTATAGTAATATAACTTCTATACCTTTAACTTAGTATATATTAATAATAGGAATAGTCTAATACTAAGGTTTAGCCTCTTCCTATATTTTACCTTATATTTAATAATAAAGTTAAACTAATACTAATTAATATTATACGCGTATAAATTAGAGACTTGTAATATTTTTAAAACTTTATTTATAAAGCTATTTATACTATAAATAAGCTAAAAGTACTTAATAACTCTACTACTATAAAATACTAGAATATTACTATACTACCTTAACTACCTTCTAAAAATATACTATAGATACTAAAGATAGTAAAGTACTTGTATTATCTTTCTAAGTAATAGTAGATACTACTACTAGTAATCTAGATAGTTTCCTACCTCGGCTAGGTAAAGGAGACTATTTACTAACTAAAAATAGTTTAAGTTAAGTACTTAAACTAAGTAATTAAACTCTTAATAATAATATAAAAGATAATCTAGATTATTTTAAACTAATTTAAAAAATATAAAAACTTTAGAATATTAAGAAATATATTTAAGATTAATTTAATAACATTACTTATATAACTAGAAATCTAAGAACTTAATAAAATAAAGTAGATAAAGTAGTATCTAAATACTTAGACTTTAGTTTTAATAGATCTATTAATTAAATATTTTTATTTATAAGTAGTCTACTATACTAATATACTAATAATAGTAATCTAGTTTAGAATAAAACGTCTAAGATAGAACCTACTCTTAACTAGTTTATAAAAATAGTAATTAATAAATATTAGAATAGTGTAATTTAAGATAAAAACTTATTAATAAATATACTTAGGATTTTCGAGACTAGACTTTATAATACTTCGAGAGTTATAGTTATAGATATTTATAGATTATTCTACTTAGTACTCTACCAATAAGAAGTATTAGTAGTACTAAGTATTAATAAACTTTTAGTTATCTAGGTACTATTTAATATAGTATAGAGGATAAAAGAGTATATATAGCCCTAGGAGTAAGTAGTATATATAGTATAAGAGGGCATATTAAAGTTAAATATACTACGTACTAGACTATAGAATATTAAGCTCTTTATAATAATTAAAGACTAGTACTTTAATATCTATAGTATAAATTCGTAGAAGTCGAAATCTAATTAAAAGGCAATATAATTATAGGTATAACCTCAAGTATAATCTTAAGTTAAAGTAAACCTAGTGCTAGATCTAGTAGTATTATAACTATATAAACTACTAGCTCTATAAAAGAACCCTTTAAAGTAATAGTTATAAACAGATAGTAATAAACTACTAAGATTTCTACTTAAGAATAAAGTAACTCTTCTTATTTTAAAGAGTACCTTTAATAATAAGCTAAACTTTATACTACTATCTCTTAGTACTATTAGATCTAATATCTAAAGCTAAACAAGTTATATATTAAATAGCAATAATAATATAATTACTACTAGAGTACTAGAATTAATCCTATAATAAAAGGCTTAATTATATATAAGTTACTATTAGGCTATATAAGCTACTTTCTAAAATATACTATAACTATAAGTACTAAGATATTTACTTAGATATAGTAGTAATATAACTACTTTAAACCTAGTACTAAATCTATAAGTTTAGTAAGGTTTCCTACTACTACTAGCTTAAGGCTATATATAGCCCTATTAATATAAATAACTACCTAATAGATACTAGTAGAACTTCTTATAAATAAGTATTATCTATTTCTAATAGTTTAGTTATAATCTAGTTAGACTACCACTACTTTTAGGTATTAATCTAGACTCTTAAGTAATTTAGAGTCTTACGAAGACGTATTAGAATAGTATAAAGTATAGTAGTATTACTAATATTTTTAATATAAAACTTAAGATCTTTTATATTACTTATAACTAATATAGAGTAACTTATTTATTTATTTATTTATTACTATTTAACGTCAGGCGGAATCTAACTCGCGTGGGCTAGGTCCTAAAAGTCCCATTGTTGGGCAAATGACGCTAGGGGGGTGCCCTAGGCTACAGGGGGTGTAAATGAAAGTGCGCTAATTTACAAGA